TTCAAGTGTTAACAGAAGGTGTAACAGTGCTCTCCCGAATCTGTAGAAAAGCCAGCCTCTGCTTGTGATATTGTTCCTAGATCTGCCAAACTTCAAAACACAAGTCAGTTTTGATATATCTATTCCACATTTGCAGGCAGCAGTGAAATGGTCAGGAATCAGGTCAGTTTCAAGCTGGTGCACTTAGCAAAGCTATTAGTGGAAGAATTAGCGAATGAACAAAAGCAGAGTGATGAATAATTGAGCCCTAATCGCCTCCATGCCTACCTCCTCTCCATTGAGGCAACACCAGGAGGAAGACCAGAGTTAGTATAATAAAGGCCTGGCAACACCACCATCAGGCAGATTCTGGAGGTGAAGGAGGAGAAAGAGAAAGATGATCCTTCTCTTTTATCTGAAGAAGGGCTCTGTGTAAGCGCAAAAGCTTGATTCTATACATAAATGAAAAACAATAGATGATATTCAGAAAGATTTCTTCCTATATTGAGATACTGGAGGTCAAGTTTTAGCCCAGAGATAATTTTTATTCAGTGGTAATAACACCTTATTAATAGAAATGTGTAACAGAAGCATTTGTATAATCTTAATCAGAGCATTGTTAACTAGGATTAATATGTCCTGAACACTGTTTAGGCAACTGTTCTGTGAAGTGTTTCATTTTATTGTGGTTAGAATTTGAATTGCTCCATCATAAACATTTTTAAATTGTGATTTTTGAGTTGGTAGGATCTGATTTTTGCATGGATTTTTGGTTACCACACAAATCAGTTAGTATGTTGTTTTTGAAAATTTGGACCAGTTAGTTGAGCCAACTGTCCTACTCTCCAAAGCCTGTGTCATAGTTCTTCCTGAGGAAACATTGGCCTTCACATGTTTAAGCTCAAATTTTCTATTTAGGCCAGGTTTACGCTGGCTGAGAAAACGGGTGCAAGATATACATTCCAGTTACATGAATTGTATAGCTGGAGTCAATATATCAGTTTTCTGAGGTGGCCCCACACCAAGAGGTTAACAGGGGAAATGCTTCTGTCAACTTCCCTTACTCCTCGCTGTTGTGATGGGAGTGCCCTCAACTTTTGATTTAGTAGGTCTTTACTAGTGGAGGATTGATTGCCAGCGAGGTGGAGATGATGTGGCCTTAGCTCAGTAGTAAGGTCCTCCTTGTTTTCCTGCATGGCTGAGGAATGGTCTTGCTGTGACTATCTGGCTCCCCTTTGTCATGTGGAATATTTTTGTCAGCCTAAGTGTGCTGCCTTCCTCCAATTTCACTTCTGTACTGACATGCTTTTGTAGGTTCATTCCCATGCTTTCCTTCCCTTCCTGTTCTGTCTCATTTGCCCTATTATCTTCCCGCATCCTTTTTACTGTTACCACATTCTAACTTCTGTTCTTTACCTTTCTGCTCCTTGATTTTCTCGCTCCCTCTCTCTCCATTAGGGATGTTTAATTGTGAGTAATTTAGTAATCGAATAGTTGGTAGAGCGCCTCCGAAGTTAGCAAAATGCTGTTGCTACACTTCAAAGGTGAAAGTGCTGCGTGGACCCTGGGTCTGCTGGGGGACTGACCCTGGGCTCCATGCGATGTTACAACTTTGAAACGCTGTGCGGAGCCTGGTGTAAGGCTCCTTGCAGCATTTCAAAGCAACAGTGCCCGGTGGAGCCCGGGGTCAGCTGTGGACTCCCAGCTCCTTTTTCTGATAGAGGCAGAAAAGGGGGGAGGGGGCAACTATCGAGTAGCCTGTAGACTATCCGATAAGCATTTGCTTATCGGATAGTTTACTAGTCCTTTACATCCCTACTCCCCATTTCGCTCTTTCTCCACTAGTCTTCTTTGTTTTCCTCTGTCGTTCCTGCTCTCTTCCTCTAACTTTCTGAATTATAAACTTATTCAGGGCAATTCTTATTCTGTGACTTTGTAAGTGTCTCATATTTATGACATTTTACAAATGTTGAAATTTCACTAATCTCCATAATTTTTAGTCTAGAGTTTTTTTTTCATTCTTACATTCTTCCAGTTTCTCTCTGATCAGTAAATAAAGGCAATAAAAAGATATGTTTCCTGTCAGATTTCAGTCTCTTCAGATACTAATTGACAAATTGTGTTAACTCTCTCTTTTTCATTTTAAGCACAACCTCAGCGCTTGCCTCAGCCAAATACTTCAGCGTTGGAAAAAAGCGAGGAAGAAACTGGCAAGATACAGAATGGTCATGCAGGTTTGAGTAATGGAAATGGAATTCACAACGGGGTCAAACATGTAACTACAGATAATAGAAAATGTTCAGCTCCTGTTTCACAAAAAATGCACAGAAAAATTCAGTCCAGCTTGTCTGTCAACAGTGATAGCAGCAAGAAGAGTAAAATAAGCTCTGCATATTCTCAAAAACCAAGTTCTTCTCCTGAAGGTAAGATTAAATTTTTATTATAAAAACAAACAAACAAAAATAAAAACTCTCTCATCTAACCAAATGCAGACTAACCAAAACCCATTTTCTCTCATAATTACACAATCAACTAAAAATAATTGAAGAGTATGGCTCATGCTCCAGAAGCAAATAGAAATTATTATGATAAAACACAAGTTACTTCCCCAAAGGAAAATGTTAAGTATTTGAAGGAAACTGAAGTAATAGGTGATTTCCTGCTTTCAAACATTTCTCTGCCATAGTTGGTTAATATTTGCAGACTGAATAGTTACAATTCTAATTGGTAACATCCTCACAAATACCCCACAAATAGCGTAAAAGCACTGGTTCAGGAGATTGGTAAACATTTAATTTTTGCAGTAGCAGATTCTCCCAGGGCAAGATTTGTTGCTGAAAATGTGCTGTTAGCAGATTTCCTGAGTTCTTGTGTGGTCTGAACATCTGAAGTTTTTTTTAGTATTAGTATTATTATCATGCATTATATTCTATTTGGTTTGTAAATGATTTGCATGGAACAGTTGCTTTTTTCTCTCTTCCCTATGCACAACTTAAATGAATAAAAGTAAATTTTTCCTTATGTTTAGCTGTGTTTATTTTTCACTGCCAATAATTACGCTAATGGCCCTAGAGTTCCTGAGCCCATTTTCAATCCACTGCCTTTCCATTAGTACTAATAGACTCAGAAAGATTTGCTTCTGCCTGTTGCAACAGCTACACTGGAAGCTCTTTTAATTTTATTGATGTTGAGCCAGACTTTCATGCACTGTTTTGGGGAGGGAAGGTGGCTTAAGCAGTCTGAGAATGCAGGTAAAGTGGAGTCCTAGGGGACAGGGGAATGGAAGATAGCTTTGTTCAGAGAAATGAAGGGAACTCTCAATCTGGATGTGAAGAGGGGAGAAATGGATGAGAAGATATGGATGAGAAGACATTTCAGGCCTGAATCAAAACCTGTTAAGGTAAACTTCCGATAATCTGGCACCTTTGGGACCCATGGGGTGCCGGATTATCGGATATGCCGGAGTATCAGGAGGTACTCCGGAAGGGGGGCTATGAAGGATCTGGAGGGGAGGGGGAAGCCCCACGCAGCTGCCGGCGACAGGCCAGCTGGGGCTGCAAGCGGCAGCGGCGACTTGGGGAAGCAGCGGGGCAGAGCAGCTGGGGTGCTGTTGGGTGCTCCGGGCAGCACCCCAGCTGCTCTTCTCTGCGCCTTTTCCACAAGTCCACCACTGGTCAGTTTCAGCAGCGGCAGCAGCAGACTTGGGGAAGCGGTGTGGAGCAGCTCCAGTTGTCTGGCTGGCTGGAGCATTTCCGGGTTCCAGTTGGTGCCGGACCACTGGATGTCGGACAATTGGAGTTTTACTGTACATCAACAGAATGATACCCATTGACTTCAGTGGCCTTCCAGTTGACTGGAAGTGTCAGGAGTAGTCAATCATATTGGCATTGTGGCATTTGAATACTGTGGTTTTATTTTCAGCTACCTGCTATAATCCTCCGGTTATAATCTCATTTGTTTCAAACTTACTGACAAATGCACCATCTTATGCTTTGCTGGAATTCTCTACTGCTTTATTTCATTTTGAATCCACTTCACATCCCTGCTGAATATTTTCCTTCTATTCATTTCTCATATTGTCTCCTTATGCAGTATAAAAAAAAAATCACAAGAATTAATCTGTTCACATGGCTCATATGGCCTGAACATTGCCAAGTTTAGAAAACCTAGGCTCTTAAAAGGACATTTTAGTATTCCTAAAAAAATTGCGCTCCTCTTAAAGGATAGTGTGAGTTTGTAAGACTGTAACAGCTACTTAGGAAAGTCATATTACGGGCAAAAAATAAATAATGACTGGAGTTCAGTGGAAAACTCACTGTTAAGAGACACCTGCAGGTGTAGCTATAAATTCCAGTTTAAAATTTAATATCAATCATGTAATAAAAGCCATAGTCATATTGGCATGATAACCAGTACTCTTATTGACAACCTCAGCAAAGATTAAATGATGTTAGATATTGAATTTATTCTCTTACCTCTTTCGGTGGTAACAATAGGTCAAGGGCGAGGCACATTCACAGTGCACTGTGAGGAATTTTGCCCTGCTTCTGCCTATGCTGTATAATTCCAGAATTATGTTTATTTGAAAGTCAACATATTGATCCAAGGTTTACATGAATGTAGCAGAAGAATCTGACCCAGAGAAAAATCTTATAAATGATGAGTCAGGAGGATACCAATTTTTGTTGGTCAGTGTGGTGCCTCCAGGTTGGTTTTCAGAGATGCTAAACATCTGAGACTCCACTTACCTAATTAAGATTGTAAATGCACTTATCCCCCCCTGAAAACCAGAATCAACATGTCCCATGTTTGGCTCTCAAAATTAATGGATAAATTAATAAAAATTGAATTAAGTTAATCCATGTTTGCAGCGGGTCATTGACATTGCTGAGAACTAAGGATGTAAAATACTATTTAAATGTTAACTGGTTAAAGTATATATTTAACCAGTTACTTGGCCTGTTGCGCCATGGAGGGGAGGGGGGCACTAGAGCTGGGCTGGAGTAGCCTCGCTGCCCCCCACTACCTGCAGCTGCAAGTGCGGGGACTGCTCCAGTGGAGCTGGGAAGGGCTTGCCACACTGTGCCATGGGTGGCAGCTGCTCAAGCCAGGCAGGGCCCACAGCTCCATGGGTGGGATGGGGGGTCTGCACTGGCCTGGCCAGATGCTAGTTAACTGGTTACCCTGGTAAGCATGCCAGTATGGCAGTGCTTACCAGGTAACCAGTTACCCCTTTATATACCTAGTGAGAACATAAGCTTACTCCCAATCCTGTCTTCAATAGCTAATTGTAAACCTTCAAAGTAAAATAAGCATAGGTATTTTTTTTCTTTTTAAACACACAATTCAGGCTCTGAAATCTTTTTATGAAGTACTATCTTGTAACAAGAGTCCTATAGGCAGACACAACCTCTCAGTAGTTTAATTCTGTTTTCAAAATCAATTACACAGCAAAATACAGGCAGTGCCCGGGTTACGTACAAGATAGGGACTGTAGGTTTGTTCTTTAAGTTGAATTTGTATGTAAGTCGGAACTGGTACATATTGTAGGGGAAACTCTGGCCAAACATTTCTCCAGAGCTCAGTTTTATTCTCCCACACCTCACTTCCCTCAGTCCTTTATTCTCAAGCTGAGGTGTCTGCTGAGAAAAGCTGCTCCGCATCTCCCTGGTCTGCTGTGGGGGGCTCTAGCTTCGCGTCTCCCTGGTCTGCTGGGGGGAAGCAGCTAGTGCGGGGTTGCCTCACCCCATTTCTAAGTAGGGATCCGATGTAAGTCGGATCCATGTAATCCGGGGACTGATTGTAAAGCCTTCACGTGTGTGTGTTTAAACGGAGTCCTATTTTCTCTCCAATCATAATGGTTCCATTTCCTGGCCCAAATGAAACTCTAGGGGTTCCCTGTGAATTTGCTGCACTGTAGTTAAAATGTAGACCCTCAATATAACGTAAACACATGGGGAGGCAAGTTTCAATACACATGTTACGCTATGTATCTGTAGAAATGACACTTTATAGTCAGGAATGGATTGTGCAATTTCCACAAAGGGAGTGGCAGAGAACAACAGGGATACCTGCCTCAGCTATGCACAATCTGTCCCTGAGGAAATCGGAAGTAAACTAAGCCCTGTCTGCCTTTTTTCCCTAAACACTTAAAGTCCACGGAACATATCAAATAAAAGAGACCTAATACTTGCCCCTTTGTTCCTCTGTGGTATATTCCCCAGAGGGAGCAAGGGACAAGCAGAAAGATCTTTCTTTGTGATCAATTCAGTGGATTTTTGGTGTTCTTTTTTGTTTAAAAAAAAACAACAACAACCTCGAGCTTACTTTACTCCTCTTGTTTGTGCAGCTCTCCTGAGTTATTTTGAGCTCAAAGAAAATGAGCTAAGCCATACCTGACAGGCTTAAAGGATAAAATGATGCTTCATATGTGAAAACATTTTACATGATATATAAAAATTAGTATGAAACTGTTAGTTGATACTATTTTCTTTGTGTGATGCAGTTGTTGATTCACTTCATGTTCCCATTCATAAGTTGAGGTAATTTTGTATTCTTGTCCTATACATTAAAAATACAGTACACTCCCTGCATAGTCACGTAAAGCACACTGGCATGTATAATCTTTAGATACAGAATTATCCAACGGCTAAAATTAGACATGTTTAATGCTATGGCTTTTGGAGTTGGAAAAATTTATATTGGCTCTGAATAGTATGATCTAAGACAACTGCTGAAATAGTTGCTCAGGTTAAAGTGTTTTCAGTTAGCATAGATTTATAGTGTTGTAATTAAACTGTATGGAGGTATCAAGTGGGGAATACATATCTCTAAAAAATATTGTTTTTCTCTTCCATAACTTGGTTTATTCTGTCTTGTGGTCCTGTGGCAGACACGTCTGTATCTATGTTTTAAAGGCTAAACCTGTTGGCAACTTTTTCAGGACTTGAGTAGTTTATTCTGCTGGAGATGCAGTTCTGGAGACTGTTGGTGATGTTTATATTAAGTCCTTATCATGCAAGAAATACTCACCTTGCTCTTTCATCACTCATTTTATTGATTAAACATGCAAGAGGACAAACTGGTACCAGTCATTTGACAGGGAATAAATCTTCAATTGAAGAAAATATTTATCTTGAGCAGGGGTCGGCAACCCCCAGCACATGTGCCACAAATGGCATGTGAGCTGATTTTTTACTGGTGGGGAAGGAGCTCAGCCCTACCCCTCCCCACACAGCGGGGATCTAGTGCTGAGGCTAGAGCCTCAGCTGCACAGCTGCACAGCTGCAGCTCAAGCACCAGCTCCAGCTTTCTGCTCAGGGAGGGGGATGGGAGAGGCATGTGTGTGCATCCCTGGGGCTGCTTCCAGCTTTGGGAGGGGGGCTGGGCCTGCTCCATAGAGCTGGGGTTGGGCAGCCACCAC